CCACCGAGCTCCGCGGAGCCGTGAGGGAGAGTCCAGTTTCCACAGTGTCCCTTCTCATCCCAGGCGGGTGGGCTTCCCGGGCCTCCCCGCCTCTCCAGCCCGCCGCCCTCCCGCAGGCAGTGCCGCGCCAAGCACCCCACACACACCCTCTCTCTTTTCGGTCTTCCCTGCCGAGTTTTTCTCTAGAAATTTCTTTCCCGCTGCCCAACAAACTCTTGCTCTTCCTTAAAGGCTCCTTCCTCCACCTCCTCCAGGAAGCCCTCCCTCCTCAGCCCAGCTGGAGGAGATCGTTGCATCCTTCCTGCCGCTCCCGCTCCTAGCTTTGTGTCTCACCAGGGGTGCGTGGTGGTGCAGCCATGAGCAGAGCTCCTGTTCCCACAAGCGGGGCCAAGCTCCCAAGGCCAGGGCTACCACGGCTCTCTTGCTGCTGGCCAAGTTGGTCACCCCAAGGGCGAAGGTACCAGTGCCTTGATCCAACCCCCAGCTGGTTCAGTGGCAGAGGAGGGCAAGGGACACAGCACATACACAGCCCTAGGGCCTTGGATTCCTCTCTGCCAAAGGGGATGGTGCTGAGGCCACAGGAGCAGCTGCCCAGAGCCTTTTTGAAGGGGTTGAGCTCTGGGCCTGGTCTGGGTCCTGGGTCTGGGAAGGACTTGGGGAGGTACAGGTGATGGCACTGCAGTTAAGCCTCCCGCAAGGTGGCAGCCTTGGGGCCCAACCCTGGGTAGGAGGGCAGGCCAGTGGTGACAAGGGAGGCCCCAGCCAGGTGAAGCTGCAGGCAGGGGCAGTACAGGGACCCGGCAGGTGAAGGGCCTGGGAGTCTGCTGGCAGTGCCACAGGAGTCTGCAGGGCCCTGGGCCAGAGTTTTCAGGGCACAGGTGACTAAGCCCAGCTGCATCTTCAGCTCAAGGCCCAGGGGAAGTGGGGTTGGGCCCTGGTGAGCGGGGTCCCTGGGCCCTTCCTGAGACCTGGCCAGGCCGACCCCACCTGGAGGTGGCGGCTCAGGGCATTTGGCACCTCCTTCCAAGTTCCCTGGCTTGGCAAGCGGCTGACCCTCAGGTGGACAGCAACTGGACCAGGCCCCTAAGTGGCACGGCTGGGTGGGGGTGTCCCACAGAGCCCACCTCCCATCTCGCTCCAGGCTGGAGCTCAGGGTGAGTCGCAGGCTGCCGCCCTAGAGAAGAGAGCACCCTTCAGGGGCAGCCGAATGGAGATCCCTCAACAGGGAAAGCTGGAAATGACCCAGGACCGCCCCCAGGTGAAGGACAGACAACTGCACACCACAGAGCTCAAGAGAACCAACAGCGTCTCTGTATAGCAGGGAGGTGGCCAGATGAGGGATCCAGGCTGGGCCAGCCTTGTCCACAGCCCATAGAAGGATTGACCAGCCGGAAGGGTGCATCAGGGGTGCCCAGAGGGTCAGAAGGCCAGACTGGGGCCCCGAGTCCCAAGGGAGGCCTGGGAAAGCCCCGGGGGAGGCCACTCGGTGGCCGGGCCAAGCAGGTTGTGCCCAGCTGGCTCTAGAGTGCACAGAAGGGGCCTGTGTTGTGGCGCTTGGGTCTGCGCACACCCTGGATGACCACGCCAGGCACTGAGGGGAAGCGTGAGTTGTAGCAGTCCTCCACGTAGTAGGCAGCTGGGCCAGGGGTTCGAGCTGCCAAAAGAGAAGGCTGAGAGCCCCACCCAGGTGGCAGCCCCCACTCGAACCTGGCTCCCAGTTCCCACCCCTGGCCCCTGAACCCTTGTCTTCACAACACACACCCATGCCCCAGCCCTAGCCCTCCTCTCTCCAGGCCTCCTTACAGGTGCTGAGCCAGGAGGTGAACGCGGGGGAGCGGCTCATCGAGAAGGCCGGCGAACGGGGCCTCTGCAGGCGGCTCCCAGGAAGGATATTGTAGGTGTTGGGGCCAGGGCGTCTCTTGCCAGGTGCCTGCAAAGAGGCCTGAAGCAGGGACTGGGGCTGCGCCCTGAGGCCCAGCCCCCTGGCTCCAGGCAGCCCTGGGTGGATGTGGCCCTCAGGTGTCTTGGAGGTGGAGTGGTGGCCTCTGAAGCTGAAGGCGGGGCCAGGGGGCCGGCTGAACAGCTGGTAGTGGGCTGGCGAGGGCCACTGCAAGGGGGCAGGAGACGGGGGGCTGCAGGGCAGGGCGCTCCCCACGGATCCTCAGGCAGCTCCCCTTTGGCCCCGCTGGAACCCCCAGCCCCCTGCCTGCCCAGCCCCCACCTTTTGCTCTTGGTCGAAGTCGGCTTTCTGCGTGAAGGGGCTTTCACTCTGGAACCACAGAGTCTGCCATGCCCTGCGGCCACCGCCCTCTGTAGGTGGAGGGTGGAGAGAGAGAAGGCTGGGAGCCCCACCCAGGTGGCAGCCCCCACTCGAACCTGGTTCCCAGTTCCCACCCCCGGCCTCTGAACCCTTGTCCTCACAACACCCACCCATGCCCCAGCCCTAGCCCTCCTCTCTCCAGGCCTCCTTACAGGCGCTGAGCCTGGAAGTGAACACCGGGAGGGTGGAGGGGCCCTCAGGCCGTGGGGTTTCAGCTCAGAGGCAGAGGCCCCCATTCCCAGGGTGGAGGACAGGCCCGGGGGTCGGGCCTCAGGGAGGGGACACGCACCTCGGCCCCGGTGCCTGCAGCCGATGCTGTAGCGGGGATGTGGGGAAGACTCTCGTACGGATGGGCTGGGCACCTGGTACCTGGTGGGACTGGGGACTTCCAGGTCGGCTGTGATCGGGGGGCGTTGCTCCAGCACTGGCCACAGGAAGCAGGCTCTGGGCCTGGGCTCCTTCCAGTAGGCCCCTCCCGCAACCCCCAAAGACCAGCGTGGGGGTGGGGTGGCCGGGACCCTCACTCACACAGCTCTCTCAGGGTCTGGGTGTAGGTGGGCAGGGACTCCTGAGGGGTGCCCATCTGTAACCTGAGACCAGCTGGGACCTCCTTCATCTTTGGGGGCCGTGTCTCATCCCAGGCCAGCCCTGGCTCCAGGCCCACCAACAGCACAGATGCCTTGGGCCTGCAAGGGAGACTGGCAGCCACTGTCCCTCAGTCCCCACCACTCTGAGCCGCCTGCCCCACAGCCTATCCCCTATACTGTCCCTCAGCCCCCTGGCTGCTCCCAGCCAGCTGCCCAGCAACGTGCTCCCCCACTCTGTCCCTCAGCCCCGGCCACTCCCAGCTTCCTGTCCCACAGCCTGTCCCCCACTCTGTCCCTCAGCCCTGGCCACTCCCAGCTGCCTGTCCCACAGCCTGTCCCCCACACTGTCCCTCAGCCCCCTGGCTGCTCCCAGCCACCAGCCCAGCAATCCGCTCCCCCACTGTGTCCCTCAGCCCCCGAGCCACCTGCCCCAAAGTCTGTCTCCCCAACTGTCCCTCAGCACCCCCCTGCCAGCTGCTCCCTGGAGCCTGCCCCCACCCTCTGTCCCTCACCCCCCAGGCTGCTCCCAGCCGGCCTGTCCCACAGCCCTCCCCCCACCGCTGTCCCTCAGCACCCTGGCCACTCCCAGCCGGCCTGCCCCTTCCCGCCCCACCGCCCCCATCAAGTTACTGGCTGGGCTCTGGTGGCGTCTGCCTCAGGTGGCCGTGGGTCCAGTGTTTGCCTCCATTGATGTAAAAATTTGCCAGGAATTTCACTGCCTTCTGGTCAAAATTCATCATCAGAGTCTCCCGGCTCTCTTCCCCGAGGGCACCACCGGGCTCTGTGACCTCACTGGTAGGCCCCTCTGTTGCTGGGGCTCCTGGGGAAGATGCATTGTCTGGCCCTGGAGGGGCTGCCCCGGGCCCCCACCCCGGGCGGGCCCCTCCCCCACTAACTAGATGATCACGGGGTCTGCCTGGGCCAGGACCCCCAGCCTGCCCCAATGACTCCTGGCCCAGCCCTCTCCCTTTCCCCCTAACTTTCCCAGCCTCCTCCCTTCTCCTGCACCCTGGGGTCTCCTGGAAGTCTGGGGTCCACTCTAGCAGGTCCTCTGGGAGGACTGAGGCCTCAGCAGAGGAGGTGGAGGGAACAGGACCC